CGGAACCCCATGCGACTAATTGTGTGATTTTATTTATGCGCCTAATTAAGGGTTAAGTGTCAACTACTGTCTCCAAGAACGAGCACGTCATGGCTGCATTAAATGTTTCTTTGGAAATAATGGCACGTGTATGTATAAAGCTTCGCTGGCCCTGATCTAGAGTATTCAATAAGAGACCGTGTGATAGGCCCATTCATAATATAATCTAAAACACCAACAATTGATCGTAGAGGAAAGTAAATCCGTACATTATTATTCTACTTTGAAGTGTATGCATTCCGATTAACCAGCGTCTTTAAAGATAAGCTGAATCAAAAAGTTTGAAAATGTGACCATTTCAAGAAAAAAGGGGGAAAATGTCGAGCACGGAAGGCCTATCGCTTTAAAAACTCCGAAAAAGGGCTTCAAAAATACATCTTTTTTTAAATTATCCGACTAGGTCGTTCTGACACAATCTGAAAATTATTATTTGTTTACAAAACACCAGCTGTTCTTTTCTTTTAAGTAAAATGTTTCTGATTCAACTTACATACGCAAATTTGCCAAGTTTACTTACATACATTTAACATATTGACATGTTTACCATTAGCATTTTCGCAGTAACTTAATTCCTTCCTTTTTATTTGCGTGTTCTCTAGCACTATATAGAAAGCTATAATGCCCTTAGCTTACATACATACATGCATATTTGAAAGTTAGTAAATAAATAGTAAATAAAGCAAAATTTCTACATATGTACATGCGAGCGATTTTAAAGTGCTGGGCAATCGAACTGAAGTTATTATCATACTAAATAATTTATTAACGTATTTTTTCTTGCATTTATTTTTTGTTTAGTTTTTTACCTATTGTAAATATCATTGGTCACTTTTCATTAAGGCTGTATATATTTCTTTACACTGTGAATTAATTTTGCCTACTACTAACACATTACAATACAATTATCTGAGCAACACAATAAGTCAAGAAATACATAACGCTTGCTTGCTGTAAGAGTGCCATGAAATTAAAAATAAAATTAATCAAGCATAACCAAAAAAGTCAAGGAAAAATTCGTTAATAACGGCGGCTTTGTTCACAAATAATGTGTATTGTTAAATAAATAAGTATAAATAATAATTGAAGGAATTTACTTCTTATATTGGAAAGTGTGAGCATTTTCTCTTGTTGTTGTTGCTATATAATAAATATATATTTTCTATTTTTGCACAACAAGATATGAGCTAATAATGAAAATGTAATTATGAAATTCTTGCAGCAAAGTGATAACTATAAGTATATGCATATAAGCATGTACATACATATGTACATATTTACATGCAAATGGTCGCATTCCAGTAAATTCCACTGCGAAGATTCGCGGTTAAATATCTGAGCAAAGATTTGGGTCAAAGGATTTTCGCTTAACCTGAGTGGTTTTTGCGCCATTCATTCAAGTGATATGTATGCAAATTATCACTGGAATGGACTAATATGTATGTGCAACTTAATTATTTAGAGTCTAATAATAACAAACTATTTTACTTATTAGCACGATTTTTTTATATTTCACATATTTTTCCGCTATATATTATAAATACATATGTATATAGTATTGTATAAATACCATACCCGCGGGAAAATCTACAAATTCAGTATAAGTACTGTGTAAGTGTACATAGTGAATGCGAACAAGGGAATCTTTAAGCCTAAAGCAATTAAATTTTATGCAAACTTGCGCATGAATGTTAATCGCATTCTTCAAAAAATAAAAACAAAATAATACATATTTCTAACTAAAACTCGGTAAAACACAGCGAATAACAAACTTTAGAAAATAATAGTTACAATACTGAAAAGTAACTGGTTTTCTTGCATTTACTACCGTAGCACGCCGGCATTCAGCATTCAATACTGGGCTCCTAAACGTTCAGTTTTAATTGTTCATATTTTCCCCGCTGGGTAGAAATATACACACATACATACATATATACATACACATGTACGTAGTGATTAGCTGATATATACGATTTTATTTTTTCTACGTTTTATAATTAGAAATTTGTTTGAGAGGGCCACAACTATATACTTATACTGAAACTTTTGTGAAAATATGCACAAGTTATTCATTCCAACACTACGTAAAGAGAAAATTTGAAATTTAAATGGCAAACACTTATTACAATTGCATTTTTAGTAAACATCTCTCAAAAATTAAATAAAAAACTAGCGCCTAAAATTTTAAGCTTTGCTTTTACTTAGTTATTCAGCTGGTTCTATTCAGAAATAATATCGATCGGCAGAAAACTTAAAAAAACAATTTTAGAAATTTGAAATCAAGGTTGAAAAATTAAGTTTACAAAAAAATTCGAAACTAAAAAAAAAATTAGAAGTACCTACATATGTATTTACTTTACTTCATTTGTCTAAAAATCACATAATAAACATGTAAATAAATTAGAGATGTAACGGCTAGTGACTTGGTCGGATACCAAATACCGAATATCCGACGAAAAACTGTCCGGACAGCCGGATACCTGATACCGGATATCCGCTACAACTATAAATAAATTATAAAGCTTGTTAAATAATTTAAATATATTTAGGACTGAAATTTTCAAAGTTAAAAGTAATTAAACTTTCGCTGTTCAATTTTCGGAATATAAAAAATAGTTATTCGTATATGTACATAGTTCACTTATTTTACTCTAAAAATCGAAACAAACATTTTATAGAAACATAAGAATTTTCATTTACAGCAGCTTTCTTGAATTTTATGAATTGAAAATTTAAAGTAAATTATTATATTTATATTTCTAATTAATTTTCCACTTTAGTTTTTCTACATCATTAAAAAATTAATCAAACATATGAAAAAATGTTTTGCTGTCTCACCGGTTACTTAAACGGACTGCCGTAAACGTTAAATGCAAATTAAATCGAAAATTTAAAACTAAAATAAAAACTATTATTAACCAAAATGGTTTTCGTCAATCTGGCCGTGACTTCCCCACAATTTCACCAAAATTAATAATATTTAAAATTTCATGGTTTTGAATTGCAATTGTACTAAGATTTGCTATGTTCGTGCATACACTTCTTTTAAACTAGTGAGCTATCCAGTACGCAAAACTCTAACGTTTTACTTATTTGTTAATATCCTTTTTGTTTTTTATTTAATATATGCGTAATTTAACTTAACTCCGAACTAAATCGAATCCTATTCATCATCTATAATACACAACTGCTTCCACTATAGTACAGTTGTTGTCAAAATAATAGTGGTGTGAAATGTAATATTCTTTCGAATGTTTTGGCACTAAATTCTTTCTTATTTCTTCCTTTTCTCACATATGTACATAATTATCTATAAATATTTCAGTATTCTATATTGTTACTGTGATTCCTACAAAACCCACAATACTATTATTTCGACCGCACCTGTACATCCCAACCACGATACCTCTTTCTAAAACTTTAAGCCACTTCAAACACCTTCAATCCACTGTAAACCACTTAGAAGCAAACTAATTGTTCCGACTTCTCGCATACGAACACGACGCGCATTCGACACCTCTACATTCGGTTATGCTTATATGTACATACCAGGGTTGTTGCGAATATTATTCCGAAATAAACATCTTTTCCGGATAATAAACAAACCGCTTATGCAAATTAAACAAGTTTGGTATCAAATGAAAGAGGACTTAAACAGCTTTAAAACTGAAATGTCTAAACGAGGAAAGCCACATACTGAAAAATATTTCAACAAAAAATGTTAATTTATTATCATAGAACAAACCTTGGGTCAGGTATATGCAACTCTTTAGTATTAAATTATAAAAAAATATAAATAGAGGTTGTTCGTTAATTCTGTTTAAAAGCTATTTCAGTCCTTTTTCATATGATACCAAATTTTTTTAATTTGGACGGGCCGTTTGTTTATTATCCGGAAAGGATTTTTATTTTGATATAACATTCGCAACAACCCTGGTACATACATATACATATGTACCCTCATTGCATGCGCTCCTTCTAAAAATGCATATATGTACATATCTATGTATGAATGTTTATACATAAACACTGTTCCATATCATCATCATACGCATACTACATACATATGTATGTATATATGTTTATAATGATGATTTGGAACAGTGTATACATATATGCCAGCAGAACTACTGCCATCATCAGCTCCATATATATACGCATCCATATGTATAAATTATATACTTCATATCATTTACCTTTCTTACCCACCCATAAACACACAAAAACCCTTTTGGTCTGATTATGCATACTTCGCATAACTTCGCATAAATTTCAAACTGCAATTTTGTAGGTACTTTGAATATAGTTTGTATGTACTCCCATTACCCCGTAATTAGCAGAACTTGTAAAAACTTAACGATCTGTTGAGTTTAGATTTTGCTTAACATTTTCTTAAGTGACATTTCATTTGCATTGGTACAAATGGTTGTGCGAAGTTATGCGAAGTATGCATAATCCTACCTTTACTCTATTTTACCCGCAAAATTCAAACTCATTACTTATATACATAAAAACTCTGTGGACTTTTGACAAAACAACTCTCTCGAGTGAGGTCATTTTCTCTTCAAAGCAGTAATTTATTGAGTTCTCGAATGATATTTTTATGCTTAGCTATTAATAGGAGTAGTTCAAGATGATATCTTAATCAAAGTTGAATAAAAATATAAAATTTTTAAAGGGAAGTTCCTTATAATTTACACTAAATTCCAACCTACAGAAAGCACAGAGGTTGTTTGGTCATAAGTCCACAGATATGTACATTCATTATTAATACTTGTATTCGTAGTCTTGCATTACGTTACATTGCATACATACGCACAAATCAATATATGTATGTACAACAAACAAAATTGCTTTTCGATATTTGATAATGAAACGAAAATGTGTATCCACAAGTAATAATTGCAAAAAAAATGTGAATGAAAATGATTTCAATTAAAAAACACGTATATGTAATTCTACAGTGATATGTGCTCAAGGCCTGATAGCGAAGGATAAAAGCGGTACCAGTGATCCCTATGTGACGGTGCAAGTTAGCAAGGTGAAAAAGCGTACACGTACAATGCCACAGGAGTTAAATCCTGTGTGGAACGAGAAGTTTCACTTGTGAGTACTTAATTGTCTGTCTGACTGTTTAACTGCCTGTATGCCGGTCTAATTGTTTGTATGTTACCGTATGCCTGCGTTTATTTATTCAATTCGTTTGTATCATAAATAAATAGATAATATTGCATTTACATTGAACCCAAATACGTCACTTGAGAGGGAAATATGAAATGCGAAGTCAAATCACGCATTTCCCTATACACAAGGCATATTAAATAAGGTAGAAGTGATAGTGACATTTCTCTCTTTTGAACACCGACTATAATGTCAAATGATGAATAACTGTTAACCCTTTTCAAGGTTGCATTTTCTATTTTTCATTAAAAATTCAATTGCGTGCTGCGAGATAGTTTTGAATTGTGTGAATTTTGTTGTTTTTACTTTGCAATTGATGGGAAATCAAAGCAAATGCAATTCGGGCAGTGTAAATACATTCAAATGCCTTATTTCAAAGCGCGTATTTGCGTTCAATGTAAATGTAATATAAAATCTTCTAACTAGCAAAGTATTAGACTGATGCACAAATGCCTTGGTTTCACCGGCGCAACAAGCGACCTATTGCATGTGACACTTACCATTTTTATACCAACACACATATCGCTACAATTTTGATATTTTTCAATAATTTTGAATTTTAAATACTTTTGTGAATATATGTACGTTTTTTAACATTGGGTTGTCAAATGCAAACTTTTAGGTCTTTCTTATTGTCTGAAGCAGAAAGCTTTCTGAAACTAAACCGGTAATGCCTCTAGTTCAATATACAGGCCAAGGTAGTTTTCATAAGCCAATATAATTGCGTAATGTAAAGCTATACATAAAAGTACACAAGTTCTTATACATACATTGAAAGTATGTATAATCTTTTTTAATTGCATAAACAATGAACATTATTTATTTTATTCGTTGTCAAAAAAACAAATATATTAATCTTTTTTTCAAAACGGTACAATGCATGTACATATACACATTGTCAGTGTTTAAACATCAAGATCAATTATACGCCATATATGCATATCAAGCACGCCTAGTTACTTAGTTATTTTATTTTCTCCATAAATTACCAACAATATGTACGTGTGTTTAGGAAGGAAAGAATCCTCATTTGACACATTGCACAGATATTAATTCATTTTCATTTGCACTGCATTTCATTGCCATTGCTTCTATTGCTCTCTCACACGATAGATGCTTGAAACGACAATGCTTAGAGAGAAACAGGTTATGCAATGGCATAAATTGCCTATTTCTCTCTGTGCTTTTGCAGTGCATAGTTGGTTGAAATCAAAACGTTGCATTGGTATGCTAAATGAGCAAATGACTTGAAACCAGCTGAAAGCCGAGTTGTGCACCAGTCTACTAAGTCTTTATTATTTTCTATAGTATATATGTATCTATAAGCTTTTTCCGTTTCATTTAGTCAAGTTTCTAACACTTATCAGTCACTTCTTGGGCCTATGTCACACACTATAAATCTAACGTTCTGTTTACTTATATCTAACACTCTTATTTACTTGTATGTACTACATACATACATATATCCGCACAAATTACCTACAATAAGTGAATGAGACATGCACCACAGCAAGAGAAAGTAAACTGCAAACGGCACATGTGCCCTTGAAATTCATCATAATACATTGGACTTCACAACATACTATATCAAATAAAACACCTCTTTGAGGTAAAATTTTCGAGTGACGAGAGCTGAACTAGAAACACAAAATTTATGATATCAATTTAGTGACGAAAGTTATACGCATTTTTTAACTGCCTTTGTAACGCAGGGAAAATCTTTTTTATTCATACGAATCGTTGCACAAGTTCTGTTATTCATTTTGTGTTTCTAGCAGTAGAGCGGAATTTCGCAACGTTCCGAATAATAAAAAAAGATTTTCCGTACGTTTCAAAGGCAGTTAAAAATGCGTATAATTTTCGTCACGCAATTGATATCATAAATTTTGTGTTCGTATTCAGCTTTCGTCACTCGAAAATTTTACCTCAAAGAAGTGTTTTATTTGATATCAATTATTTTGGGGTAGCAAATTTAAAATCGACAGAAATACAAACAATAATCTAAATGTTTTATTTTTCTCAAATAAATTGCTAAAAATATTAAAATCCAAATTATGTATTCAAAGCGATGAGTCCATTGAAACATATAATTTTTCGAATACGGAATAAAACGAAAAATAATGAGCATATCCTTTGTATTCGAAAAAAAAAAAAAAAAAAATATGAGATATGATAACAACTTATCAACTTGGTACTAACTTTGGATACAATAAACAACTGTATTCGTCTGATAGTCTCGTAGTTTATTTTTGTTAAGATTTCTACCGGGTGTGGTGGGCACACATGTGCTTTTTTTGAGAAGTTTTACTTCTATCACGTGTACGGTGTTGCACTCGTGCCATTAAACTAATGCTTTTTTCTCAAGTAGTTTTGCTCAATAAATTTTGGCAATTTATACATATGTATGTAAGTAGTAACGGCACATTGGGTGAATTAAATGCATTCATACATACATATTTATGTACAACTATAGGTAAATACCAGGTAGGTTAAGTGCGGGTGATAAACCCATGTCGCATAGTTAAATACTGTGTACATACCTGCAATTAAACTGGGGAAAAATGTTACAATTTCGGCATGTGACTGAAAAAACTCTAAAATACACACAAATGGTGGTTTCCAAGACATGTACGAAGTGATTAGCACAGCTGCTGTCAACTCGCGGGAAATTCCCCGATTTGCAAGGAATTTCGGTTTAAGTGGCAATCGGGGAATGGGCAATTTTTTCGGGGAACTGGGAATATTATTTTTATATCTTAAAGTAACCAAATTAGACGGATGTGTTAATTTTTAACCATTTGACCCTTTTTGGAGCGACATTTTTTCAATTTGAATCCCAATATCTCCACAACAAGAGTTTTCCCAGATATAAGCTGTATACCAGATGAAAGCTAAGGTTTCGGGCTAGATTTTTGGAAACCTAGAATAAAATTGACTGACCAGTTTTTGAGAAACTGCCGTATATTTTCAGCAGCCCGATTTTTAGTTTTCAGGCGATAACGTTATGATATGTTTATATTTTATAAACAAAAAAGATGGCGTTTGATAGCTTGTTTGAAGACCCTTCTACTGATATCCGCGTCAATGACATGGAGTGAGTAGTGCGGCCTCAGTGGTAGTTTAAAAAATTGCGTTTTTTCGAATTTCAGGCAGCAGCCACGCCCACAAAGGCATACGAATCAAAACATCCTGGAACAAAACCTTCTTAGTTTTTTTTGTACTTTAGTTCCTGAAAATTTGAAAAAAAATTAAATGACGTACAGACGCCACATACATACATCTCTTAGCGGAGACACGAACCAAAACACATTTACCTCTATATCTTTCGAACTAGTAGGCGGAGCGTAATATATAAGGTATCGTTTCAAAGGTATTGACCTATAGAATAACACTAAATACGTAGGGTGTACCCGCATGCCCCCCTTAATCGGCAAAAGCAAAAAAAAACGTTTTTTGTTTCACAATACTTTAGCCTAATATTTAAGAATCCGGTTAATCGTTTATGAAGCTTGAATACATTTTCTGGACCCATTCTGCAAGACCTTTCCAACGATATCTCAAACATGTCGATTGGACGTCTGGATAAAAACTTCCAAATCTCGTGTATATACAGTGAAACCCGCTTAAGTACCTAACCCGCTTAAGTAACCAACATATTTGAGCAATGTGAATTTTTGAATGTAATCTGAAGAAAATCCCTCTTTAAACTATCTCCCCGCTTATTTACCCCACCCGCCTAAGTACCTAAATTTTTCGAACACCATTTACCATTTTACCTGTAATTTTCCCCTTTGAGGTGCTCTTTTAAAATTCCTTAAAATATTTACATATTTTGAAATTCAGTGGCAGCGTTACACACCTTCGGGAAAGAAATTATAAAAAATAAACGGTAATTTTTAGCTACTTGAAACTTGCACATTATTACACTAAAATTGAATGGGCTATAAAACTGTATACACAACAAACACTTCTGGGAAAAACATTTAAATTTTTGGTGAATTTTTTCTGTAAGTTTCCTATAAAACATTAGGCTTAGGTTTATATGGTATTTGTTAGGGAATGAACTGTAGTTTAATTAAAGAATTTTAAATAATGCTACGGTTACTTTATTAAATGTTCATGTTTTATTTAAGGATTTACATATTTATGTGAGTCTACAAAAAGATGTAACTACATCAATAATTATGTTCGCTTAAGTACCCGCATCGAGGTACTTAAGCGGGTTGGGTTCTTAAAATTAAAAATTAATGACAAAATTAAGTCCCACGACTTTCTCCACATAACTACTACTCCCTACTAGCACGTCCATATTATGTATATGTATCACAGCGCACGGCAGTGCGCGCGAGTGACGAAAGCAGCCACAGTAGAATGCTGAAATGACTCGCTTATA